TCCAGGCCGATGCTCTTGGTGTCCCCACAGGAAGACAGTGACCACCCAGCCAGGCCGGGCAGGAGCAGGCTCCAGGCCGACAGTGACCACCCATTGCTGTTGTTAGCAACCACAGAACCAGCTGTAGGACATACTAAGGAGCCATCCCCTGTTCCTGCTTCCTCCAGAGACGAAGAGTGGAAGTCCTGCCTCCTGCGTGGGGACAAAGCAGCCCTGTGTTTTTGGAGGCCTTCAGTGTCTTAGTTCCCGGGATGTAAGGACTTGTCAGAGAGTGTTCTGGTCAGCTCCCGTTTTCAAAAGCAAAGGAAGAGCTCATGGTTTAAGGTAGCTGCGTGTGAGGAAGGGGTGCTGAGACACCCCAGGCTTGCACACTGTTTCTCTCGGAGTTGGGTCAGTGTCTTCCTAGCGGAGGCTTCTATTCTGCACTGGTTTTCTGACACGTGAAGCACATTTTTTCTTTAGTGTCTGCACAGTTTTAATACGCATACAGGCGTGTGGGTACTGTGATGTTTCCGTTAGCCACAGTAGTTCTTAGTGCTTTGGGAAATGGCCATCCTTTCCAAGCTTACCATGTCACAGTGACATCGTGGTGGCCCGGGTACCACAATCAGGCCACGAGTCCAGCCAAATCCATCCCTGCTGCATGGTGCACGCTGTTCACCAGCACGCCTCTAGGGGGCGGCAGAGCTCCAAGCAAGGCCTGCGCCCTGTAGGCATGCTCAGACCAGGGCCCTCTCTCCTCGCGCCTCACCTAACCGGTCCACCTCCCATGCTCCAGTCGCCCTCCCTATGCACCTGGCACCGTGGCCTGAAGCTTCATGGTCCCTGCTGCTGCGTCACAGCCGGGAATGCCCGTGTCACCACAGATCCTGGGTCTGTGTCTTCCGGTGCTCTGGATGCCCTGAGGGGTCAGGGAGTACTGAGGGCAGAGGATATGTGCTGTGTGGACAGCTGTGTGTGTGTGTGTGCACGTATGTGTCCAGGGTTATCTGTGTGTGCACATGTGTGTCCAGGGTTATCTGTGTGTGCACATGTGTGTCCAGGGTTATCTGTGTGTGTAGGCATGTGTGTGTATAGGTGTGTGTGTATATACGTGTGTGTACAAGCAGAGGGTGGCTCGGATGCTGTTTCTTGGTGCCAGCACCTTCCTGTTGTTGTGAGACGTGGTCCCTTTCCAGGTGCCTGCCTGTTAGTGCAGACACTTTCCAGGGAGCCTCGTGGCCCAGCTTTGGTTTTGTCTTCACTGCAGGGACTGAGTCCTCGTGCTCACGCTCAGCCTCCTCAGCCCGTCGGGACATGCCCAGTATAGACACCTGAGCTGTGGGCATGATTGCTGATTTGGTTGCTGAGTGGACTTTTTCCCACCGTTTCTGAGGTGACTCCAATGTCGCATGACCTCGGTGTTCTTTCTGACTTGGAGAGAGACGGGGGTGCCAGCACGAGGCTTGGGTGCCAGGAAAACGCTGGCTCTGGTGGCGCTGGTGCGGGCTGTGTCTCCCTCGCAGTTTCTTCTCAGTTTTCTCACCCACGAAACGGGATTAGCCAAGTGACTTAGGACCTACCTACACGAGAAAGGTGTGCGAGAGGTGTTCGAGAGGCGTGCGAGAGCAGGAGACATCTTGGGAAGATGCTGACGGGTGCCAGTGCTGGGACTGTGGGGATGGGGAGGAAGGGCTGGGGTGAAGCCGGACCCAGTCGTGAGCATGGTGTGGAGGAAGACGCCGCTGAGCAAGTCAGTCCAGTGAGTGTGAAGCCACTAGAGAGGCGCTGGGACGTCGGGGGACTCCAGCTAACAGCCCTAATGGGGTTCCTCGCGCACATGTCCACGCATAGGCGCACACACGTACCGGTACGTGTACCTGTGTGTACACATGTGGAGCCCAGGGGACGGCTACGGCGTCCTTTCTCGGGTGCTGGCAGCGTGTGAGCCAGCCTGCTGCCTCCCTGGAGGCACACGTGTCCCTGGAACTACGCTTTGGTGGAGAGAGTGTGTCCTGGAAATTGAACTCTGGTCCTTGCGGGGGCTTTGCACGCTGAGCCACCACCCAGTCTCGGCCCAGCAGCTGAGGAGGCTGGGGCAGGGACGGGAACAAGGATGTGAGGAGTGACCGAGTGAGGCAGGGAGGGGCCCGCTCTGAACTGACCTAGTGGACACTTGTATGGCTGGGTGCTGCCGGGCAGACAAGTGTGAGAGCCAGGACTGGGGGGGGGGGCACTTAGAGGAGCTGCTAGAGACACAGGCTTTGTGGAGGAGGATTTGCATGCGTTGAGTGGTAGAGTCCCTGTGGGAGCCCTAGAACTCGGCCTCAGCCGTGGTCCCACTCCAGTTAGCCAGGGCCAGAAGTCCAGGCGTCGTGGTTCGCAGGGGCCAGTGAATGACGAGGCCAACTGCTCTAAGGGCAGGAAAAGGGTTTATTGTAGATACAAGGGAGAGCAAGGCCAGGGGCAACATGGCCAGCAGATCAGACCAGCCATGGGAGGAGGGAGAGGAAGACAGGAGGGAGAAGAGAGAGAGGAGGGAGAGGAGAGAGAGGAAGACAGGAGGGAGAAGAGAGAGAGGAGGGAGAGGAGATGGAGGAAGACAGGAGGGAGAAGAGAGAGGAGACAGAGGAGAGAAAGGAGGGATGAGAGGAAGACAGGAGGAAAGAGAGAGGAGGGAGAGAGAAGAGGGAGAGGAGGAAAAAGAGGAGAAGCGAGGAGAGAGAGAAAGAAAGACAAGAGAGGAGAGAGGGCAAGAGGGAAAAGACAGTACCAGGAACCAAGAAAGCAGAGCCCTGGGAAGGTGAAGTGAAGCCCAGCACACACACACACTCACACAAACACACACACACACTCACACAAACACACACACACACTCACACAAACACACACACACACCCTGAACTGGGGGGGTCCGGGTGGGGGCGGGGAGGGAAGTGCTGGGAGCAGCCGCAGGTACTGAGCAAGGATTCTTTTTGGGACAGTGACTGCTCAGGACAGTAACACGGCTGTTGAGAGAGGCCTGGGCAAATGGTCCTGAAAGCTTTCCCAGCGAAGAACAGACGTTGCGGAGAGCCTGGGGACGTGGTGGACGCTTCCCCAGCAGGTGCACAGGTCTGAAGTCTAGCCCCAGAATTTGGGGGGAAAAAGTTTAAGGCGCCAATGACACTGCACAACGTAGTGTCTGTTGAATCACCCCTTGGTGTCTCAGTAATATGCTTAATTTTATGCATTGTTTAAATTATTTCAAGTAAAATACGCACATAGTTGTTGTCATTTGTTTTTTGATCTGATTAATGTTATTGATTTTTGGCTTCTGCCCAGAAGTTTGTTAAAAATGCTTTTACGTCACACTTCTTCCACAGTAAGCAGGTAGTCGCGTTCTGGGATGGCAGGTGCAGACCACACAGCATTGGAAAGAATCAAGTAAAAAGACCCGTGTAAAGCGTCTGGAAGACACTGTACTCGGATGAAGGCCACTTGTCCCGTCCTGCAGAAAAGTGGGACAAAGGGGAACTGACCCCGTGAACCAAGGCCTGTGGGCTCTTGAAAGCCCACAGAGGAGGGATGAGGGCCGCCCCTGGGCTTCCAGACCCTCAGAGCCCCAGGCGTTAGAGGCTCAGGTGGAGAGGCTCACAGGCCAGCATGTGCTGAGGCCTGCACTCTTGACTCCAGGGCTCCTCTCCCTCTGGGCCAGGCCGTTTCCCTTCCTGTGCACCCACCATGTGAGGGCCTGCTTTCAGCACCTGCATTTACAGGTAGACCTCGTGGTCTGGTTTTGAACTGTGTGTGGCCGTGACAGCCAGTATCCTTATAATGCTAGCAGCTGTGGCGGGCCCCAGGGCCGGGCACGTCCATGGCTTCTCTAGGTCACTGCTGCCCCTCTGGCCTCTGGTAAGGGCTCCTTGGTGTGCATGTTTGTCTAACTAAGGCCACACCCTGTGGAAGTGTGGGGGTTCGCCAGCCATGACTGAGGTGGAGAATTCAGGGGTGCCTACACTTTCCTGAAAGCGGGATCTTTGTACCTTAAACAGTAACATTGGGGTCGGAGGGCGTCAGGCCTGAGAGCAGGGAGACACACTGCCGTAGCTCTCACAGCCTCCTCTTTCTCCAGGTACGTGTACATTCCCCTGGGAGGGTCCCAGCGTGGCCTCCTGGGGACGCTGCTTTCCACTGCCATGACGTTCGCATTTGTGAGCTACTGGCATGGCAGCCATGAGGACCTCTGGAGCTGGGCAGCGCTCAACTGGCTGGGAGTGACCGTGGAGAGCGGAGCCCGGAGGCTGCTGGAGAAGCCCCTCGTCCGGGAGACCCTGGTGAGCAGGTCCCTCGCTGCCCGTGTGGCAGGGACAGCGAGCAGAGGGGACGGGCGTGGGAGGGCTGGCGGACACCACATTCACTCCAGCGTGAGAGTTCTTGCCAGACAGTGTCCATGCGTGTGTAAGAAGCATGAGGGGCAGGCGGGGAGGCTTGCGAACCAGCGTTGTCTAAATGAGTGTTGGCTGGCTGGATACAGGAGTGAATACAGTGACTATAAAAGCCTAGGTGTCCATTACAGAAAACAGAATCCAGACAAGAGTGAATGAACAACAACCTTCACACCAAGACTCCTTCTTCTAATTACTTTCTTTCTGTGCGCACACACTCACACGGCCATTCGCATAGGGGCTATGGTGGCACTTCCACTGCCCCTCTCAGCCAGGAGGCCTCTGCAGAGCTCCGGTGCGGACACGCGGTGACGCGTTTAATTGCTCTGTTACTAACCATCTCGGTGTAAATCGTATTGCTGTGGACATCCTAACTCGACAAGCTCCCCCGAGCAAAGCCGTCAGAGGCGTCTGCTGTTGGTGGCTCACGCTGCACGCTGCTCACTCTTACTACCCTGGAGCCGAGCTGCCCACCCCTGAGGCCCCTGCCAGTCCTGATGCTGGCTGGCCTTCAGCTTGTGATGGAAGCTGTCTGGCACTGGCGAAAAGGCAGTTAAGGGGCAAAACCACACCGTATCTAGAGCTGTGACTTGGCCATTAATTGGACCCTTCCCCTCACAGATGTTTTCAGCACAACACATATATTTTTGCCTTGTGAGCGAGTCAGCTGACATGGAATCTCCCAGGAAATCAGTGTTTCTGGATATGAACAGTGCTCTGCCAACCCGAGAAGAATGACCCAGAAGCAAATGTGTCAACGTCTGCTCTCATAGCCGGCGATAAAACACAAAAGAGACTCCACTGGGGAAAGTGATGAATGTGGACGAACTCTACCGAGTGCGTGAGGCTAGAGCAAACATGTTTAAAAATCACTGAGGCAGAGCGACTGTGCTGAGGCTTGTTCCAGTTAAGGTAGCCCCAGCACAGAGGGCGGCTATCTCAGTGAGCACTGACACGGAGCGCACGGCGAGCCCGAAGACGTCAGCGTGCTCGGGCTGCGCACTCAAAGACAGTGGGAGAGACGGCTCCGCCGCCTCGAGCTTGGTGCTCTTAGGAGGACCTGGGCTTGTTCCCAGCCCCACATGGATGTTCGCAACCACTCGGGCCCGCAGGGGATCTGCAGCCGCCCTCTGGCTTCTGAGAGTGCTGCTCTCATACGCCCAGAGAAGCCTACACACAGATACATAAAACCAAAATAAAAAAGAAAGATTTCCTTCGGTAGTGGTGCCCGGCATTCAGAAGGCAAGGACCACCTGTGAGGTCTGTGGGAGCTTCTGAGAGTGGTGTCAGCATCACGCAGAAGGCCGTGCAGGGCCACGTCCTGAGGACGCCTTCCCAAGGCGGAGTGTTCCTCCCCGAAGCCCGAGAGGTGCAGAGGGCTCGCTCCCTCAGCCTCGGCTCTGTGCGCCCCTGATCCCCCAGGAAGGCTCTACCGTGGGCAGAGATGAGGCAGGGCAGGGCTCCGAGTCACGGGCGGATGCTCTGGACTATGAGGGCGTAACCGGGCTCTTCGCTGTGACCTACCACTAAGCTGAGCCGGATATAAACCACGGAGAAAACTGGCTCAGCAGGAGCTCTTGAACACAGGACTCGCCACACTGTAGGGTCGTGACCCCAAAGGCCTTGTGTGCTCACCACCTTAGACATGACACCCGCAGTCCAGGCACCAGGGACCCAGCAACTTCATGTGTATTTCGTGAGATAATTCTTTCATATGTTACAAACCGATTCAATTCACATATTTGTTACTGCGGGTTATGAAACTTCACTCAAACACCAGCTGTAGTTTGTCTGGAAGACTGGATGGAGCTTGTATTAACTCTTTGTTGGGGCAGAAGAGATCCGTCACGGAGGATAAGACAGGGCCGAAGGAGCACAGGGCAGCTGGCCGCATCGCCCTGCTGTCTGCATGCTGTCTCTCCACTCCACTCAGTCCGGGGCTGCAGGCTGCTGGACGGTGCCCCTCATGGGCGGGATGGTCCCCTCAGCTAACCCAGTCTAGAAACTTCCACAAGCCGAGCTGAGAGCTTTGTCTTGAGGAAATTGTGTTGTCAGATTGAAAGCCTGTGTCAGTCACCACAGTGTTCATGCTGCTGAGAGGTCCTGCTGCCCGGCCCAGGGTGCGGGCAGCCTGGGCTTGTCTGTGTAGTTAGCGCTTCCGGAATGGCTCACTCTTGGCTCTTCTTTCCGGCCTGCTCAGCGGCCCTCACTGCCTCTTACGGTTTAGCAGAGACTCTGTTCTCCTTTAACATTCCAAATGCAGACAGCTGAACATGAAAGCAATCATTTATTGACAATTCTTGGTGGCAAGTGTATGGAGGTCAGAGGACAGCTTTGTGGAGTTGCTTCTTTGCTGCCTTATCCCGGCCTCCTGACAGCTGGATCTCCCGGAGGCATTTTCTCGGTTGAGCTCTCCTCTCGGAGGACTCTAGCTTGGGGGCAAGTTGAGGTAAGGCTAGCGGGCCTTGCATGTATGTTTCTGTACCATGCGCACGGCTGATGCTCACCGACCCTAGCGAAGGGTGTTGGATCCCCGTGGACTCAGTTACAGATGGTTGTGCGCTGCTGTGCGGGTGCTGGGATGTACCCAGGTCCCCTGGAAGAGCAGTTACGGCTTTTGACAGCTGAGCCATCGCTATAACTCCCTATTTTATTCAGAAATGGCAATCTAGGTAGCTTAAATGTGGTCTAGGCCATCATCTTGAATAGTGCAGTTCTAGAACATAATCTCTTTTTACAAAAAAAAATTAAAAATAGCCTATTTGACTGTGATAATTTAATTTTAATTTAGCTTTATATGTATGTGTTGTCTGCCTGTGTGTATGTCTGCGTGCTACAGTGCATTCAGTGCAAGACAAAGGCATCGGGTCCTCTGGGACTGGAGTTACTGGTGGGTGTGAGCGGCCACATGGGAGCCAGGAATGTCACACAGTCCTCTAGAAGGGCAGTGTGTGCCCCTAACCGCTGAGCCACCCCTCCAGCCCAGACTTCTCCATTAATGGTGCTCTGTGCCATGCATCCTCCTGCTTGCTCTCTGCTGACTCCCTCTGTGAGCCTGTGCTCCCTCGCTTCAGGTGTGTGCTCCATTTAACGGCACCATAGTTTCTCCAGTTGCTCAAAGCCAAGCTCACGAGCTTTCCCTTCCCCCACATGCACTGCTTCTCCTGCCTCCTGACTTGACCTTGGGGTGTCACCTGTAGCCCTGGGACCCTGGGACCCACGCTGCCCTCAGTCCGTGGCTGGCCACCCAGCAGCATCTGATCAGCCGCTCCTGTTTCACCCCTCAGCCCACCACCTCCTAGTGCCCAGTACTGTTTCTTAGTAAGAACCCAGCCACACTGCTCCCTTGAAAGCCCAGTGGTTAGGGAGATGGCTCAGTGGCGCAGAGCACTTGCTGAGGACCTGGGTTCTGTTCCCGGCATGGCGTGGCGGCTCACAGTGGTCTGTCTGTACCCTGAGTCCCAGAGGGGATCCAGTACCCTCTTCTGCTCTACAGAGGCGTTCTATGTTTATCTACATCTGCATGTGTGCAGAACACCCATACCTGAAAAAAACCTTTAGAAAGGAAACTCAACCGTGGTTTCCCATCTTCTCAAAGTTTAGGACAAACTGGGAGGCTTTGCCCAGCAGTGTCTTGAAACTCGTCCCGCTAGCCCTGGCCCCCGCTAGCCTGGCCCCCTAAGCCACACCTGCGTCACACAGGCGCCTAAGCTCCTGAGGTGCCCTCTGTGCCCACCGTAGCCCATCCTTCACACTGTTTTGGTAGACGGCTTGTTTGTGAGCCCTATGCTGGTTTTTCTTGCCCAGGCAGGCCCCTCTGGATAATTCACATGTCCACTCCTATCCCAGCTGCTATCGCTTAATGAAATGCTTTTGGATGCTTAGTCCCTGATTCCCTCCCTGATCTTTGAGTTCAGGGAGGTCGGACAAACAACATATAATGGCAATTATCACAGTATTTGGCACAGTGCTTTGTGGGGTGGAGGAGATGTTTTCTGACTTCAGTGAGGAGAGCAGAGGAGGAGGGGCTTCTGCGGTTGTGTGGTGGTTGCCTGCTGGAAGAAGCTGGGCGGGAGGAGAGCTGTTGAGCATTGTGCTGGGACAGTGTTTTAGAGCAGTGCAGATGCCAGTGGGTCCAGTGATAGCAAAACGCTGCCTTAACACTCAGTAATGTGCATAGATGAAAGAACATCATGAAAAGGAGGGGAGATGCCGCCTGCTGACACCTGCTGGCTCCCAAGAGGGGGCCTCTTGGCCCTGACTCTGGGAAGCTGGCAAAGGCATTTTCACCAAGCTGCCTTACTGGTTGAAGTAGAGGAGTTGCTGAGGCAGCCAGTCTGACACCATCCCCTCCAGGGATCCAGAATTTGTGTTCAGCCTTGAAGTCTCTTAGTTAGTGGTGGCAGTCCAGAAGCTTCTGTGAAGTGGTTGCTTTCTGCTAGCTGGGCTCTGATCTCTCCTTGGAAGGATGACCTTCCAGGATGCACGTCAGTTATTCCTGTGCAACGATGAAGCCGTATCCCAAAGGGCTAACCCACTCCGCTCAGTCCTGATTTCCACTTTATTGCACGATTTATATAGTCCTCCTCCCTGTGCCCCTCCATCCTGTTCTTCCCAGGAGTGTCTGAGTAAGAGGACACAGTCCTTTATGGGGCAGAGGAATCCTGCTTGAAGACTCAGGAAACATACAGGTCAGTCTAATGCTGCTGGAGGGCGCCGATGTTCTGGTGCGTCAGAAGGAAGGCAGACGGGGCTTTGGTTCCGCTCACCTGCTCCGCTGTGGTTTCTAGTCTGACTTTGAACAAACAAGCAGAGCGGCTCCTTGCACTTGGCAGATGACAGGCTGTGAACAGCTGATGCCATCAGCACGGTGGTGGCTTGAAACACAA